AATGAGCTGCCCAGGCAGACCCAGCAAAGAGCATTAATACTGGCCAGATGGTCAGACTGCTGTAGAAGCAGTCCCTCATGGATTGGCTTTATGTGATGTCACGACATGGTCGGATTATATGGGTAGGACATTGTAATGCCACTACATGGGGGGCAGCAAATAAGGATTTTTATAGGGCGGCAGAAATCCTTGCACCGGCCCTGAGTGTCAGTTGATCTGATCAAACAGGTTGTGCTGAAATTTTAGATGAGGGGCCTTTATTTGCCAACTAAATGTCTCTTACATACATTGAAAGCAAAGTTGAATAATGCTGAGCTGTTTTCTTTCCACCAATAATTTAATTGTATAGTTATTGTATCCTTTTATTGTATTTGAGAAAGGTCTGTATTTCCATTTGACTGATGTGTGTGTGGTTGCTGGCCCTTGCATTCCCTGAATCCTAGAAAGATCTGCGTACAATATTCTGACAGAGATATTTTGTGAATTGGAATTTTTTGTACTAACACGTAAGTTACTATTACAAAAATTAAAAAAAAATAATAATAAATAAAGGTCTGAAATTGATGCATTTTTTAAAATATGTTAGAGGATGTTTTCAGTTTACTATCAACATAGTTACATAGTTGCATAGTTACATAGCTGAAAAGAGACTTGGGTCCATCAAGTTCAGCCTTCCTCACATAAGTTTTTGCTGTTGATCCAAATAAAGGCAAAAAAACTAGTCTGAAGCGCTTCCAATGTTGCAACAAACTAGGAAAAAATTCCTTCTTGACCCAAAATAGCAGTCAGATGTCTCCTTGGATCAAGCAGCTATTACCCCACTAATTAGAAATTATATCCCTGTATGTTATTTTCTTGCAAGTATTTATCCAATTGCAGTTTAAACATCTGTATGGACTCTGATAAAACCATCTCTTCAGGCAGAGAATTCCATATCCTTATTGCTTTTACTGTAAAAAAAACTTTTCTCTGCCTTAGATGAAATCTCCTTTCTTCCAGCCTAAATGTGTCCTATGTATAACCCTGTTTATGAATCGATTTCCAGATAATGGTTTGTACTGGCTCCGAATATATTTGTATAATGTTATCATATCCCTTCTCAGGCGCTGTTTTTCCAAACTAAACAGATTTACATTTTTTAACCTTTCTTCGTAAATAAAATGCTCCATTCCTTTTATCAATTTTGTAGCTTGTCTCTGCACTTTTTTCTAGTGCCATGATATACTTCTTTAGAACAGGTGCCCAAAATTGAACAGCATATTCAAGGTGTGGTCTTACCAGTGATTTATAAAGAGGCAAATTTATATTTTCATCCCGAGAATGTATGCCCCTATTTATATATGCTGCTCAACAGGGCTGGCCTTAGGCCCTTAGGCGCCCTGTGCGAAAAATCTTCGCAGCGCCCTCCCCCCCCCCTCCACCCATCATTCCTTTTATAGTGTATTAAATAAATAATGATTTTAAAACAAATATTAATTCCTCCTTTCCTGTTGTTATCTAGTTGGAGATGGGCATGTGGATCTGAATCTGGTCTGCCCCTCCACTGGGTGCAGACCATGCATAACTGTCTTGCAAGCTCAGGGACTTGCAGTGTCCTGTGGTAATCTGCGGCAGTGCTCTGATTGGTCGGAGCTAGGTAGACAGCTAATTTTGGTCTGCAGCCAACAGATGTGCATGCCAGATGTGTCAGACTGCAGAGTCACATGCACACAGTCCCATAGTCAGATGCACACCGTTATACATATCCCCTGTCAAATACACAGGATCAGGCAGAAACACACAGGTACAGGCAGTTACACACAAACAGTTACAGGCAGATACACACACTCACACAGTTACAGGCAGACAGTAACACATACAGTCTCTTTCACACACACACACACACACACACACAGTTACATGCAGACAGTCAATTACACAGAGGCAGACAGTCACACAGACAGCTTCACACACAGACAGTCACACAGGCAGATAGTAGCACACACACACAGGCAGACAGTCACACACACACATACAGACAGACACACACACACACAGGCAGACAGTCACACACACAGAAACAGGCAGACAGCCACACACACAGGCAGACAGCCACACACACAGGAAGTCAAACACACACAGACACACACAGACAGGTACTCACACACACATACACAGGCAGACAGTCACACCTACACAGGCAGACAGTCACACAGGCACACACACAAAGGCAGACAGCTACACACACAAGCAGACAGTCACACACACAGGCAGAAAGTCACACACACAGGCAGTCAGCCACACACACACAGTCACATGCACACAAGCAGACAGTCACACACACACACACACAGGCAGACAGTCATACTGCCAGGCAGACAGTTATACACATACACAGGCAGACAGTCACACGCACACACACACATGCACACAGACAGCCACACACACAGGTACTCACACACACAGGCAGACAGTTGCACATACTGACACACGCTCACAGACAGTCAATCATACATGGTTACCTCTGTCCTTTATGGTTTGGGAGGAGTGAAGGCAGTGCAGCTATGGTTGTTGGGGAAGCCACCGCTGTTAAGCTCCCCCCTGCCGTCATTTAAGCTCCGCCCATGCTGCAAGGTAAGCTTTGCCCCCATAGCAATGCTGGGAGTTTTTTTTCTAAGCCTGGGTGGAAAATAATGTAATCCTCCACCCAGGTAGCCGGCCATGTGTGAGCTGTGTCGGCCACAGGGCCCCCCGTCTCCACAGCACCCTGTGTGGCCGCACAGCTCGCACACCCCTAAGGCTGGCCCTGCTGCTCAATTTTCTCCCAGGATTTTGTTTAAAGGACCACTATAGGCACCCGGACCACTTCAGCTTAATGAAGTGGTCTGGGTGCCAGGTCCATCTAGGGTTAACCCTGCAGCTGTAAACATAGCAGTTTCAGAGAAACTGAATGCTTTCCTATGGACTGACTGCGCGCGCATGCGCATTCAGCCGGTGTCATCAGAAGAGGGAGGAGAGTCCCCAGCACTGAGGGAGCCCAGCGCTGGAGAAAGGTAAGCCTTTAACCCCTTACTTCCCCTAGGGCCCGGCAGGAGGGGGGCCATGACGGTGGGGGAGGGGGGGACCCAAAGACACCATAGAGCCAGGAAAGTCCAAAGAAAGCTTTTAAAGCAACCTTGATGATGCTTTACCTTAATTCCCCTTATATTTCCCACAGAGTGGCATCTTTTCGCTACTATTGATTGGACATATAGATTGGGAGGTTAGTAGTGTAAATGGGAAAGAAACTAATTATAGGCCTTATAGTGGAAGTATAATTTATTGCTGTTTATATATTGTGCACCTCTAAAATGCATCGTGAATGTGACCACTAAGCAGATGTCTTAAATTGGTTCCTCCAAAACCCCCACGGTAAACAGTACCTCACCCATATCACACCCGGAGGTGAAGGTGATTGACTGATAGCATGCAGCTCCGAGATTTTTTCTTTTCACATGCTCATTTTTTGTGATCACTTTGTGCTCACAGGGGGGAATTGTTATGGACAATTTTATTGCTTGTGCTTGATGTATCAAATTATATATAATGATTAGAGATTGTTTAGCTGTATCTGTGAAATGGTTTAAAATGCTTAGTAGGGGTTTCTTCCCTGCCTGAAAAACAAGTATTCCACCACACAGTGAGTTATACTGTTCAGGCTTGCTTATCTACCTATAACATACAGAATTGTATGTAATGTGTTAGAGTTGCTTGGATTTCTCAATCTGCGATTGGCTGAAGAAAGTGTAACACCCTAGACTAATAATCTATATATCCCCTTTGCAGTGAAGGAGAAAATGAAATGCTTGCTTGAAATACATTGTGTTGCCCTATGTGTGTTATTTCTAACAGACCTTTTCCCACATCTGAGAAAGAGATAAGCTGGAAAGCAGAAATTTGGTGACAGGTCCATGGTAGTGTGAGAGACCTGAGAAGTATCCAGCCTTACAATTAGGTAAAGGTAGAATTCATTAATCAAGGCGTTGAAATCTTAGTTGTGGATGATATCACTGCTGTTACATATTTCTAAATTAAATCTGTTTACATTGTGTTTGATCCACCAACTATTCCAGAATAAGCTCTGGGTATTCTATCTGCCTCCATGATTGGCATATTGCTAAACATTCTAAATTGTACCAAGGTGTGAATTAAAAGATATTATTTGCATTATTATTATTTATACAGCACCGACAAATTTGTCACCACAGTAGGTGGACTTACAAACAAGTAGTTGTAAGAAAACAAGTTGCACTTATAGAAGCAGAAGACACATTTGGTAAAATTATACAAAAAGTAAAGGTGGTGTATTTTATGTAATAGAAAAGAAAAATGCCTGAAAGTTTACAATGAAGACTTTTTTTAGATGACACAGTTACAGGAGAGGAGGTTGATTAGTGAGGTGTGGGGAGGGAAAGCTGTTAACCATTTAATTCAAATGCCTTCTTGAAAAAGTGAGTTTTCCTAGAATTCCTTACTAGAATTCAGTTGAAGTTAATATTCACAAAATGAGTTAATAGTAATATGGTACTAGCCATGCCACAAGTGGTGTTCAATTTTGCATATTCTGTTTTACCTTTTAATTATCATTTACATTATTAAGGCACCCAGACAACTACATCTAAGCATTTTTAGCCCTGCAATCTAAAACATTAAACTCTCTGAGGTGCATCGGATTGGAGAAGAATCGATGCCTCCAGGATGACGTTGCGGGAGGGGGAAAGAGTCTCAGCACTTGAAGAAATGTTTAATTGGTTTTAATTTAGTTTAGGGGGTCCCTGCATCTAACTGGTGAACATAACACTAGAGTGTTAGAAATATATGTTTATATTCTTAAAGCTATAAAGTTCCTTTTTAGAGTTGATTTTGTATTTCTGATGCATCTGTATATGACTACAGCTAAATTAGGTAAATATTGCACAAAATAATTGATACATTTATTGAATTATTAATAACATTTAATATTAATAACATTTAATTTCATTATTTAAAATAACATCTTAGAACTGCTTGAGTCTCCTGAATGAGCCAATTTTTGGGCTCATGGCACCCCAGTCAGTATATCTTCTGTACTCTCCAGGTCTCAGGTAATACTGGCGGCCCCTGTAATGTGGTTCCTCATAGAACATCCAGTAACCATCAAGCACCTGGCAGGAGTTGATGTCATGGTAACGGAATCTCTCATTGACATTAGGACAATCTTCAGTGGATTCCATCATCTGACCTCGGAAATCATCCATCTCATAGACCTTCACTCTGAATGAACCAAGGTGCTTCATGCGATTAAAAAATATATAATTAATAAATAGCATGGAAAAGAATTGCATCATTTCATGTGAATATCATGCCTATATTGACAGTGTAATATCGACCCACCTGTTGCCATGAAAGTTACTGCTGTCTTAGTCAATTATTATTATTATTATTATTATTTATATTTATTTTTATTGTATAACCCTCACCTTTTAGGGATATCCTAATATTATTTAAGTATTTTTGTTTAGACTACTGTATATCTCCAGGATACACAGCGAGTCACAATTTTCTTGGAGATTGTGATAAGCATTGCGTTTTTCTCTATATATTTTTTTTTATTCCCGGGGTTAAGCCCCTTGAGACCCCTGGAGTCTCTTTTTTGGTACTTTAACTTGTTTTTCGCAATTAGAGCACCGACACAAGTAGCTGGTGTTCAGTTGCGAATTATCAGTATATATAGGTCTTAGTCAATTAAGAATATATTGCATTAAATATTTAACAATGTTATTAAAAAGACAAGAATATATATTAAAGTGAAACCTTAATTAATCATAGAAGAACCAAGGATGCTTTTTTTGGACTGCATCTTTAATTATATGTTTGTAAAATTCTCAACTGCTCTGGTAAATGTATTTACCTGTGGGATAATATGACAGGATTTGATGGAGTCGTTGAAACCCATCCATTGCTTTAAAATAGGATACTCTCCCATGTTAAGGTAATACTGGTGTCCGTTGTAGTTTGGGTGCTCATACAATATCCAGTTTCCACATTCCACTCGGATGGAATTGCAAAGGCGAAAATATGAGGACAAATCTCAGAGCTGCACTCATAAGAGCGGCCCTTAAAGTTACGATCTTCGTAGAAGACAATCTATGAATGAAATTATGAATTAGAATATTTTATACTTTTGAATGTATTATTGTTTTTGATTTAGTTGCTAATGATGTATCAAACATAAAAAATTACAAGGGCTCATAAATTAAACAAATGTATAAATTATACAATCACTAAAGCTTTGAAAATGGTTTAAATTCATGGGCTTCGGATATACAATTATAACAAGAAAAATCCAGTGTGCTGTTTATGGCCAATATAAAGTGATGCTGATTTGATTCATGTGCATTTGCTTATTTGGTTGCCGTTTAATAACTTATGAAGTAATATATTCTGCTACCATTTTGTAATGCATGCATTTATTCCTTTTACAAGTACAAAGAGACAGAAAGGCTTGGGCGGGTACTAGACCACCTCAGTGGTACAAATTGTATGATGGAAATACCTCATCATGGCCATGCTCCTCCAATCCACACCCTCGGAAGCCAGCATTATATTAGCTATCTAATGGTGGAATCAGCATGGCTGTTAAGTTTGAGATTGGAATACATAATATGACCAACCACAGACTAAGTTGTGGAGCTGATTTCATGATTTATCCCAGTGGCAAGTGATAGCTAATAGTGAATATCCTTAGTAATTGCCCTCTGAAATTTAACTTTTTTCTTTTAAAACTAGACTTGGAGTTAGGGACAGGAAGAAGTAAGAAGCTTTTTTACCTACATTTTTAAACTTGTTTGTTATCCACTCACATTTGCTCACCACAATTCTTTGTTCAGTCAAAAAAATTCTATGGGTTTGTTTACAACTTTGTCACTACGTTTTATTGACTAGTCACTACCCTTGATGATGCCTCTCGTAACTGCTCAGGCGAAGTTCCTGACTTCACAAGTAGCAACTGGGAGTTACAGGCAGCCAATACTGAAAACCAGTCGCTTAGTAGTGGCTAATGACTCCTATTAACTCTGATTTGGTGTAAAGTGGTCAGTGACAGTCCATCTCTAAACATCCTGTTAAAAACAAAAATCTTGTTTCAACCCTGTCACTAAATTTTACCAGCCAGATGCAAATTCCCTGTCACTATTGGCCACACAAGGTGTATGCTTCTTTGCTTTACCAGCACAAGGCCCAGCTTTTTTTCATGAAAGGCTACCAAAATGTATTAACAAGGCTGGAAATATGGTGGTAATTTGTTGCCACTACAAGCTTCCAGTTGTTAATAGGTTGACAGCTAGTGATATCTTATGGCTGTTATTCACTGACAAATTTGTCCCCTGGAAGAGCCTTAGCGTCGAAACACGCGTCAAGAGTATTTAGTTGATCCTATAGATGTGGGATGACAAGCACTATGACCTCTTTTTTTATACCTTCTTTATCTATTTTTAATTATATTTATTTTTGTTTTCTATTTTTTGTTTGGATATATACACTTTTTTCATCGTGAGATTATTACCATTGGAGGGGGGAGGAGGATACTCAGAATTTTATTAAGGGGTGCCCACGAAGGGACATCAGAGTAGGGAATCTTCATTTCCTGCAGGATATTATAGTCACTTTGTACCTTGTCTGAGATATTATAGTACTCTCCTCCGGACCATATTTGATGTGATCTAATGTAACAGATATAGGTTACATCTTGTTAATTTAATTTATCTTTATTTGTGTTAACAAATTTGTTGCTTTTTTGTTCTAGATACACATTACTTTTACAGACTCTATAAATGTATTTATCTTGATTTCTGGATTAGTGATTACCAAATATCATTCTAATTAATTCAATTTACTTTTTTCTACCTATTATAATTTTTTTCTGTGGATATTTTCTGCAGATATGTTGCACATTTAGGATCAGATATTTAAGTATTTATTAAAAGCTAAGTTTTATTTGATTACTTTGGGGTTACTCCTGGTCATTTAGGGTTTACCTTCTAAACGGTTTCCCCAGGTGCTTTTTTCTTTCTTCTTACTGACAAATTTGTGAACAATCTCTGTGTCTTCTATTGAAAGCATGTCTTCAAAATATTAATTGTTGGTTTATATTTCAACAAATATTCCGGCTATTGTTTCTAATCTTTCTTATGTTGCCTCATTTTATTCATTTTGTCAGATAATCTTACCTTTCCCATTTTCAGTTCTGATTTGGTTTCAGTTGATCTGTTCAAGCACGTTGTGCTAATATTTAGGATGAAGGGGCCTTTATATACCATCTATAAGTCTATTGTTGATGCTTGCATATATTGAAATCAATGCTGAGCTGTTTTATTACCACCAATAATTATAATGTATAGCTATTGTATGCTTTGTTGTGTTTGTGAAAGCTCTGTATTTTCATTTGACTTGTGTGTGTGTGTGTGTGTGTGTGTGTGTGCTTGCTGGCACCTTCAATGAATCCCAGAAAGATCTACATACAACATTCTAATAGAGTTTTTTTTGTGAATTGTAATAGTTTCTAAACTAAACAGGCAGCAGTTTATGTTAAAGGGACAATCCAGAACTCTAGAGCATTTTAGCTTACCGAAATGCATCTAGGGGTAAAAAGTGTGTTCTCTTTTTTTTAATTTTCATGAAAAGTGTATATTTCAATACTTAGAGGACAGCTACTATAAAACAACTGTGCATGTAGGGCCAGATTAGAGAAGCGATGATATGGAACTAAAAAAGGGGACAATGGGGAAGTATGTTGTTTAGTAAGTCTAAAATAAAATGAAATGTACTTACAATATTAAGAGATGCCAGTTAGATCTACCTCTGTGAACTTGAGCTGTGTAATCCCAGTTTAGGGATGTTGAGTGCATTTCTTGTTTCCTCGAACTTCTGAACACCAAATTCCTTGGTCTATAAAAGCAAAAAAATCTACATTGATTATAAATTTATTCAATAGATACAGTATATTGCCCAGTCTTTATTTTTTAGTAGTCACTTAGTAACAAACTCTGGCAAAGTAAATATTCATGTAGTTTCTTTTACATTCCCCCCCACCCCCCCCCGCCATTAAAAGAAAAAAAATCTCTCCTTTCGCCGATGCTATACATGTCATTATATGTTTTACTGCTCAAATAGTTGGTTAATAGGTATTTTGGAAAGTCATAGGGTCAAATAAAGGGCTTGCAAATTAAATTCCCTGGACTTTCTGCCTAGGTTGTCAGGCAAGTCCCTCAAGTTATAATTAATAAAGTCACTTAATTATGTAAAAATAATAAATATACACATAGAAAAAAAATTAAATAAATTTAAAAAAAAGTACACACTCTATGGCAGAATTCTATGGCTTTACATATCAGGACATAATCATCTGTTCCTTAGCCGGTCTTACAATTAGGTAACTACAACCTCAGATGAACAACACATGACATATTAACATACACCATGTCATGATTATTTTATATAAAAATACACTTAGAATGAAATTACATATATATAATGGTGGTCGCTTACAATAAGCCGAGTTATAGTAATGGTGGTGTAAATCAGTTGTGGTGTGCCGGAGCCGACGTTCATGTAGGCCTGTAAAATAGGGCCTACATAAAGGCAGTGGTGGGTGGGCTGGACTAGGCGGTCTCGACCCAGTTTAAGGGGAGGGGTCTGTGTATTTATAGGCTGGGTAACTCATCCCACAACCAAAGGCTTTGCCTACTGACTCAGCCCTCTAATTTGTGGTTGGATACAATAAGCCGAATTATAGTAATGGTGGTGTAAGTCGGTTGTGGTGCACTGGAACTGACGTTTGGGTAGGCTTGTAAAAGAGGGGAATAGTTTAACAGTTTAACACTGAATAAGTATTGACATTACATAATCAGTACTTAAATGTATGTCTCAACTCCCTCTCAGGTTGAGGTATATATGCAGATGACTATACTGTTCCAGCCCTTAGATGATATGTACTGGGATGTTACTAGAGGTAGCAGGAGCAGCGCTTATTCATTTAGAATAACCTAAAATATTGAAGATTGTATTCAGCAACTTTACGGTGTTGTAAACTAGTTTAAGGTTGAGGTGGCAAAAAATATGTGAGCGCCACCATGGAATCGAATGAGTATGATTTGATGATTTGATATGCAGAAGTGACTTTATTAAAAAAGGCCAGAGGCCAGCACATGAACCTGTGACATTGGCAGAGAGCGTTATGTGTGCCAGCAACCTACCATGGTCATTTGATAAGCTAATCTAGCATTAAATCCTAGAATGTAGAGGTTTAATAGGTCATTTGACCACAGTGGGGAGAATTTGGAAGAATACAAGAAAATGTAATCGAGTCACGGCATTAAGTCTGGTATGGGTATGTGGACAAATCACATCCTAATCAGCTATTCTGCTGATGCTGCCAGCAAAATCACATCCTAATTACCTGTTCTGGTGGGATAGAAAGTTTAGTGACATGAACAGGACTGCTCAAGCATGTGTTGAATGTGCTATTGTTGGTAGGTGAACCTAGGAGCAGGTTTAGTGGATGGAAATTAATGAGCTCTCTTGTGTAAGGTGCATGGTAAAGTTCAGCGGATAAAGGAGAGACTGGAGATCCATATGGGAAACAGACAACATTGCCCAAAAAGGATTTTCCCTCTCCCTGATACACTGAAGGCTGAGGGGGGGCTGAACTGCAATGAAATAAAGTCTAATGTAATTGCAGAAATTAAAATTAGTGTAGGAGCCAACTGTTGATCGAGACAGCGGAGTGCCAAAGAATGTACCAGATACATAGGAGACATCTGCTTTTGGGCACTGAGGGACAGTACTGACATACAAGAGTAGCCAACAGAGAGATTATATACATATATAAAAAATTGTTTGGGCGGCTCTCCGCTTCAAACGTAAGATGGTGGCAAAGTAAAATGCTTAATTTGCTAATTATCGTACAAATGCCATTGGGACTGATGCACTGGGAGCAATTTGAAGATGGGGGATATGGAATTTTCCTTGTCAGGCTGCTTCTGTGGCCCTTATGATAGGACAGATATCATTGCCTATCGTGGCCTAATGCTGGGAAATTTAAAGAATGAGGAACCGATACAGAAATTAAGCAGATATAATTGGGATTCCCATTAATTAGGCTAATATGGTAGGTGCACCCACACATAAAGGGGTTGTTGGAAGGGCCCCAGCATGAAATCAATACTTGATTCTGTCAATAGCAATCAAGTTGAATGAGTCTTAACTAGTAGATTTGAGGTTAGGACAAAAGAAGTGAAATGATGCCTGTGCAAAAACTTACTCTGAAACCTGTATTTGGAAACTCAACTAAAGGAAGGGAAGTGTAACTATTGAGCGAGAAGCTTCTTAGTGACAAAAAAAGTGAATACAGAACAGTCAAATTGTTCTGTCTGCGTTCCCTAGCTTTGAACTACTGACAAGTCTTGCAGCTATGTCCTTCCCAAGGACAGGGGATCTTAGTAAAGGAAATGTGCTGGATAGTAACTGGTGGTGTAACCCTCAGGGGATGAAAGTAAGGAACATAACATAGAGTACTACAGGGGAGGTTAGGACTTCCAAAGTGAGGAGATTCCAAATTTAACTAGTTTGTCAACAGTTGTACATAAGAATATCAGGATGGGAGCCATCATCGCCTACATCCACGCAATGCTGGCTGTATTTCCAGCTGTATTATTATTATTATTACCATTTATATAGCGCCAACAGATTCCGTAGCACTTTACAATATTATGAGGGGGGATGTAACTATAAATAGGACAATTACAAGAAAACTTACAGGAACAATAAGTTGAAGAGGACCCTGCTCAAACAAACTTACAGTCTATAGGAGGTGGGGTATAAGACATGTTAGGACAGGAAATATCAATCAAATAGGGTGGGAGTTAAGCAGAGCTGGAGGAGAAAGTAAAGCACTGCCCTATAGGAGAGAGCAAGAGACAGGTATGTAAGGTAGAGGTTACTCTGGGAGGCCATAAGCTTTTCTAAAGAAATGGGTTTTGAGGCACTTCTTAAAGGATTGAGAGTCTGATGGGGGTAGGCAGGCTATTCCATAGGAAAGGAGCCATCCGCGAGAAGTTCTGCAAGCGCGAGTTGGCCGTACAGTTGCGAGCAGCAGTCAGGAGGTGGTCACGGGCAGAGCGGAGGGAACGAGGAGGGGCATACCTTTGGATCTGTGAAGAGATATAAGAGGGGCTAGAATTGTTCAGTGCTTTAAATGTATGGGTTAGCACTTTGAATTGACTCCTATAGGATACAGGGAGGCAATGTAAGGACTGGCTGAGGGGTGAGGTGTGAGAGGCCCAACTAGAGAGGAAAATAAGTCTGGCGGCGGCATTCATTACAGACTGTAGCGAGGCAATATGGGTTTTGGGGAGACCAATCAGGAGAGGATTACAATAATCCATGCGGGAAATTACTAGAGCATGGACAAGCTCCTTGGTAGCATCTTGTGCAAGAAAGGGGCGAATGCGGGCTATGTTTTTAGGTTGGTATCTACAGGATTTGGCAACAAACTGGATGTGAGGCTCAAAGGTGAGGCCAGAGTCAAGTATGATGCCAAGACAGCGTGCTGCAAGGATGGGCTTATGTTGATATAACTGACTTGAAGGGAGATCGAGAGAGGAGGATTAGTATTAGGAGGAGGAAAGACAAGGAGTTCAATTTTAGAGAGATTGAGTTTCAGAAAGCGCAAGGACATCCAGTCAGAGATGGAAGAAAGGCAAGCAGTGACACGTTGCAAGACGGCAGGGGAGGGGTCCAGGTAGGAGAGGTATATCTGAGTGCCATCAGCGTACAGGTGGTAGTGGAATCCAAAAGAGGCAATACGTTTGCCAAGAGAGGCAGTATAAAGAGAAAATAGAAGGGGACAATGGAAAGAGCCTTGGGGAACTCCAACCGAGACAGGACGAGGGTAGGAGGTATCCTTGGAAAAGGAGACACTGAATGAGCGTTGGGAGAGATAAGAGGAAAGCCATGAGAGGACAGAGTCACAGAGACCGAGCAATTGAAGAGTTTGAAGGAGGAGAGCATGATCAATGGTGTCAAAGGCAGCAGAGAGGTCAAGGAGAATTAGTATGAAGTAGTGACCATTGGATTTAGCTGTGATTAGGTCATTAGTAACTTTGATAAGAACAGTCTCAGTAGAGTGGAGAGAGCAGAAGCCAGACTGAAGAGGGTCAAGGATAGAATTGGAATGGAGGAAGCGAGACACACAGGTAAAGACAAGTCTTTCCAAAAGCTTTGATGAAAAAGGGAGCAGGGATATGGGACGATAGTTAGAGG